AGGGAAAGAAGGTGGTTGATGCCCTGAATAACTCGTTCACATTCCTCATCTCTGGAATGAGCCCCCCACTCTCCTTCCTGAGGTTTGTATAGCAAAGCAGTCAATTCCTCCTGGGACACAGGAACACCAGCACCAACTTCATCTGGAAAGGCAGCTATGCATAAAGTGAAAAATCAGAAATAATTAGTTTCTAGAATCATGCTATTGCCATTTTTCTTTTAGAAAAATTATAATTCATTTTTTAAAAGCATATTTACTTCCTTCTGGAATTGGCTCCATATCCCAGGGACTCATCTTTTCTCTCTCGTTATTGTCCCAGCTATTAAAAAAATAACAAGATACAAATCAAATTCAGATGACACTTTATATACTAGCATAATTTGCATTACTTCTTGGGGGTGAAATTTGTAAAGGGACAAAACAGTTTCCTTGAAGTACAACTTTGCTTACACAAAGATAATAATAAGCCTCTAATAGAGAAAACATGGCCCATCAATATGAAAGAGAGTTGTAAGCTTACTCTTAGTTCTGCTGGGCTTTTTTTTTTTTAATTCCAACCAAGCATACATTCAGTGTTAAGCCAGGATACGGAATAAAAAGATCTCTTTGGAAAATTCCTTTCAGGTTAAAAAAGTCGATTTAATAGATCACTTCTTTCTATGAGATAACCTACTTTATTCTAACAGGTTGAGTATTATAGCTTCTCCAAAAGTTTATTATTCCCTTTTGATCTACAATATGGAGACTAAAAGTCAATCTTCACAGAATAAACATTTGTTCTATCATTCTTGAGAAGAAAGTTTTATTTATTAGGAATCTTACAACTCTGGTGTTTCATGAACAGCAAAAGTAAATTATAGACAAACAGTATATCCAAACATAATGCAGTCACTCCTGTCTAGAATTCATACCATTAAATAAAAGACTATGTAAATATTCAGTATTATATTCCAGGTGTAAAAATTAATTTAAACACTGAATTAATTTCAGTACTCTTCATGAAATAATAATTGTAATTCTTGTCTAAAATAGAAATACTTAAGAGAAAATACAGGAATAAGGGAGGCAGAAATAAGTCTTCAGTTCCTGCTTTGTGTTAGCATGCATATTGGACCAAAAGGTTTATCAACAAATTTCTTCCTTAAAGGTACTATGATTACTTCCTTACAGGTACAAGTCTTATAAGACTAGGTAAGGTAGGGTTTATAGAAAGTCCATATAGTACTAAAGTATTATATCAGGTGTAAAAGACCATAAATATACTTACTGAACACTGTAACACTGGAAAGAACTATCAGGATACTCTGGTTGAAAAGGCTGCTGACTCTCCACGGTCCCAAACCACCACGCGTCATCTATTATACTGCGGAATCTATCACCTACAATGTTTTTAGAAAATCTTAAGAGTGCTCTTGAGGATAATCACTCTGTTCCCACTCTAAACTGCTAGTTTTTGTTGAATACAGAAGGAGCATTGTATCCAGCATTATTAGAAGTTTCAATCTGAGTTTTCCATATATGTGAATTTTACATTTTACCCTCTTCAAGGATTTTGATTTCCAAATGCTAATAATTATTCTGAAATAAATCACATATTACCGCATATAATTTAACTTTTATCAATTACTTGCACTCATTAGACATACTGCTTTTTGTATTGCACATATGATACTATGGTTGTTTCTTCTATTTTTTGTTTCACCATTTTGTTTTTAAAAATCTCTTCATACTAGTTTTGTACCTTTAAATGGCTAAGGAATACAAAACCAACCATGCGGACAATATTGTTTCTCCTACATAAGAAAGGAGAATTTAAAAGTACTAATAGCAGATAATAACATAGTGGTTGCTCTGTGTCAGGTACCATTTTATTCATATCGACCTTATAGGTATGTTCTGATGTGATTCCCATTTTACAAATAATGGAATTGAGGCAATGAGAGGTTAAAATCTTGCCCAAGATTAAACAGCTGGTGAAGGGGGAGGAATAGAGGGGGAGAGAATAAGAAGGGGAAAGAGAGAAAGGGAGAAAAAAGGAGAGGGGGAGAGGGAGAGAGGGGGAGACGGAGAGAGGAGGAGGGCAGAGGGGTAGATGGAAAGAGGTAGAAGAGGAGGAAGAAGGAGAGGGAGAGGGGGTGGGGGGGCAGAGAGAGAGAGAGAGAAAGGAGAGAGAAACCCACAATCAGTAAAGGCCTTTTAAGAGCCCAAGTGTTAAGTACTCCATTTCATGGCCATTGACATTTCAAGATTTTCTTTTTAATACAGATTTGTATTCTAATAGAGTAGGTAGTCACAGAAAAGGTTTTATGCCACTTACAATGTTCATAAAATCAACAAAACATAACTGAAAAGAAAAATTTAATTTTTCTAATTTGGCTAACAGCATTTTCAGTCTACTGATTTCTTTCTGTTAAATTGGTTTAAAAGTTACTTACTCTACTTCAAACAATAATTGTTCAGTGAGAATTCTATACTTACCAATCTGCCAGTTCCTTTCTTTGGCTTCATTATAAAACTGATGTAGCACAAGGAAGTCAATGACATCTGGCATGTCATGATACCTGAGGAGAAAGTAAAGTACATATGATTCAGTATACAGATATAACAGTATATGTTACTTTCTAAACATCCAGGAATATATGTTTAATGTGGAAGTATTGAGCAAAATGTTGCAAAACTCAATGTCCCTGTGAACGCATTTACTTAAATTAAACCCCATCTGTTTGATCTGTTTGGCTTAAATATTTACTTATGACATTTTTTTTAATATTTGCATACAGTAATTTATTTTCTTTATTACAGTGTATGTTTATTGGGGTTTATTTCACTTCTTTTATATTCTCCTTTTTTAACATCTTTATTGGAGTAAAATTGCTTTACAATCGCATGGTAGTTTCTGCTTTATAACAAAGTAAATCAGTTATACATATACATATGTTCCCATAACTCTTCCCTCTTGCATCTCCCTAACTCCCACCCTCCCTATCCAACCACTCTAGGTGGTCACAAACCACCAAGCTGATCTCCCTGTGCTATGCAGCTGCTTCCGACTAGCAATCTATTTTACCTTTGGTAGTGTATATATGTCCATACCACTCTCTCACTTAATCTCAGCTTACACTTCCCCCTCCCCAGTACCTCAAGTCCATTCTCTACTACATCTGTGTCTTTATTCCCGGCTTACTCCTAGGTTCTTCATGATCTTTTTTTTTTCCTTTTTTTCTTAGATTCCATATATATGTGTTAGCATATGGTATTTGTTTTTCTCTTTCTGACTTACTTCACTCTGTATGACAGACTCTAGGTCCATCCTCCTCAGTACAAATAACTCAATTTCGTTTATGTTTATGGCTGAGTAATATTCCATTGCATATATGTGTCACATCTTTATCCATTCATCCAATGATGGACACTTAGGTTGCTTCTATGTCCTGGTGATTGTAAATAGAGCTGCAGTGAACATTTTGGTACATGACTCTTTTTGAATTATGGTTTTCTCAGGGTATATGCCCAATAGTGGGATTGCTGTGTCATATGGTAGTTCTATTTGTAGTTTTTAAAGGAACCTCCATACTGTTCTCCACAGTGGCTGTATCAATTTACATTCCCACCGCAGTGCAAGCGTGTTCCTTTTCTCCACACCCTCTCCAGCATTTATTGTTTCTAGATTTTTTGATGATGGCCATTCTGACCGGTGTGAGATGATATCTCATTGTAGTTTTGATTTGCATTTTTCTAATGATTAATGATGTTGAGAATTCTTTCACAGGTTTCTTGGCAATCTCTATATCTTCTGTGCAGAAATGTCTGTTTAAGTCTTCTGCCCATTTTTGGATTGCATTGTTTGTTTTCCTGTTATTGAGCTGCATGAGCTGCTTGTAAATATTGAAGATTAATCTGTTTTCAGTTGCATCATTTGCAAATATTTTCTCCCATTCTGAGGGTTGTCTTTTGGTCTTATTTATGGTTTCCTTTGCTGTGCAAAAGCTTTGAAGTTTCATTAGGTCCCATTTGTTCACTTTTATTTACATTTCTCTAGGAGGTGGGTCATAAAGGATCTTGCTGTGATTTATGTCATAGAGTGTTCTGCTTATGTTTTCCTCTAAGAGTTAGAGAGTGTCTGGCCTTACATTTGACTCTTTAATCCATTTTGAGTTTATTTTTGTGTATGGTGTTAGGGAGTGTTCTAACTTCATACTTTTACATGTAACTGTACAGTTTTCCCAGCATCACTTACTGAAGAGGCTGTCTTTTCTCCACTAGTATATTCTTGCCTCCTTTATCAAAGATAAGGTGACCATATGTGCGTGGGTTTATCTCTGGGCTTTCTATCCTGTTCCATTGATCTATATTTCTGTTTTTGTGCCAGTATCATACTGTCTTGATTACAGTAGCTTTGAAGTATAGTCTGAAGTGAGGTAGCCTGATTCCTCCAGCTCCGTTTTTCGTTCTCAAGATTGCTTTAGCTATTCGGGGTCGTTTGCGTTTCCATACAAATTGTGAAACGTTTTGTTCTAGTTCTGTGAAAAATGCCAGTGGTACTTTGATAGGGATTGCATTGAATATGTAGATTGCTTTGGGTAGTAGAGTCATTTTCACAATGTTGATTCTTCCAATTAAAGAACATGGTATATCTCTCCAGCTATTTGTATCATCTTTCATTTCTTTCATCAGTGTCTTACAATTTTCTGCATACAGGTCTACTGTCTCCTTAGGTAGGTTTATTCCTAGATATTTTATTCTTTTAGTTGCTATGGTAAATGGGAGTGTTTCCTTAATTTCATTTTCATATTTTTCATCATTAGGGTATAGGAATGCCAGAGATTTCTGTGCATTAATTTTGTATACTGCTACTTTACCAAATTCATTGATTAGTTCAAGTAGTTTTCTGGTAGCATGTTTAGGATTCTCTATGTAGGGTATTATGTCATCTGCAAACAGTGACAGCTTTACTTCTTTTTCAATTTGGAGTCTTTTATTTCTTTTTCTTCCCTGACTGCTGTGGCTAAAACTTCCAAAACTATGTTGAATAAGAGTGGTGAGAATGGGCAACCTTGTCTTGTTCCTGATCTTAGTGGAAAAGGTTTCAGTTTTTCACCATTGTGAATGATGTTGGCTGTAGGTTTTTCATATATGGCTTTCATTATGGTGAGGAAAGTTCCCTCTATGCCTACTTTCTCCAGGGTTTTTATCAAAAATGCTTGTTGAATTTTGTCGAAAGCATTCTCTGCATCTATTGAGATGATCATATGGATTTTCTCCTTCAATTTGTTAATATGGTGTATCATGTTGATTGATTTGCGTATATTGAGAACTCTTGCATTCCTGGAATAAACCCGACTTGATTATGGTGTATGATCCTTTTAATGTGCTGTTGGATCCTGTTTGCTAGTATTTTGTTGAGGATTTTTGCATCTATGTTCATCAGTGATATTGCCCTGTAGTTTTCTTTCTTTGTGACATCTTTGTCTGGTTTTGGTATCAGGGTAATGGTGGCCTAGTAGAATGAGTTTGGGTGTGTTCCTCCCTCTGCTATATTTTGGAAGAGTTTGAGAAGGATAGGTGTTAGCTCTTCTCTAAATGTTTGATAGAATTCGCCTGTGAAGCCATCTGGTCCTGGGCTGTGTTTGTTGTAAGATTTTTAATCACAGTTTCAATTTCAGTGCTTGTGATTGGTCTGTTCATATTTTCTATTTCTTCCTGGTTCCGTCTCGGCAGGTTGTGCATTTCTAAGAATTTGTCTATTTCTTCCAGATTGTCCATTTTATTGGCATAGAGTTGTTTGTAGTAATCTCACATGATCATTTGTATTTGTGCAGTGTCAGTTGTTACTTCTCCTTTTTCATTTCTAATTCTATGTCCTGCCACTCCCTTCTGGCTTGCAGAGTTTCTGCTGAAAGATCAGCTGTTAACCTTATGGGGATTCCCTTGTGTGTTATTTGTTGTTTTTCCCTTGCTGCTTTTAATATGTTTCCTTTGTATTTAATTTTTGATACTCTGATTAATATGTGCCTTGGCATGTTTCTCCTTGGATTTATCCTGTATGGGACTCTCTGTGCTTCTTGGACTTGATTGACTATTTCCTTTCCCATATTAGGGAAGTTTTCAACTGTAATCTCTTCGAATATTTTCTCAGTCCCTTTCGTTTTGTTTTCTTCTGGGACCCCTATAATTCGAATGTTGGTGCATTTAACGTTGTCTCAGAGGTCTCTGAAACTGTCCTCAGTTCTTTTCATTCTTTTTTCTTTATTCTGCTCTGCAGTAGTTATTTCCACTATTTTGTCTTCCAGGTCACTTATCCGTTCTTCTGCCTCAGTTATTCTGCTATTGATCCCTTCTAGAGTATTTTTAATTTCACTTATTGTGTTGTTCATCATTGTTTGTTTTCTCTTTAGTTCTTCTAGGTCCTTGTTAAATGTTTCTTGCATTTTCTCTATTCTACTTCCAAGATTGTGGATCATCTTTACTATCATTATTCTGAATTCTTTTTCAGGTAGACTGCCTATTTCCTCTTCATTTGTTAGGTCTGTTTTTTTTTTTACCTTGCTCCTTCATCTGCTGTGTGTTTTTCTGTCTTCTCATTTTGCTTATCTTACTGTGTTTGGGGTCTCCTTTTTGCAGGCTGTAGGTTCGTAGTTCCCGTTGTTTTTGGTGTCTGTCCCCAGTGGCTAAGTTTGGTTCAGTGGGTTGTGTAGGCTTCCTACACAGTGGAGGGGACTAGTGCCTATGCTTTCGTGGATGAGGCTGTATCTAGTCTTTCTGGTAGGCAGGTTCACGTCCGGTGGTGTGTTTTGGGGTGTCTGTGGCCTTATTATGATTTTAGGCAGCCCCTCTGCTAATGGGTGTGGTTGTGCTCCTGTCTTGCTAGTTGTTTGGCATAGGGTGTCCAGACTGTTGCTTGCTGGTCGTTGAGTGAAGCTGGGTGCTGGTGTTGAGATTTAGCTCTCTGGGAGATTTTCACCATTTGATGTTACGTGGAGTTGAGAGGTCTCTTGTGGACCAGTGTCCTGAAGTTGGCTCTCCCACCTCAGAGGCACAGCACTGAATCCTGGCTGGAGCACTAAGAGCCTTCATCCACATGGCTTAGAATAAAAGGGATAAAAAATAGAAAGAGGATAAAATAAAATAAAGTAAGATAAAATTTAAAAAGTTATTAAAATAAAAATAATTATTAAGAAAAAAAATTTTTAAGTTAAAAAAAAAAAAACTGAAAAATGGATGGACAGAGCCCTAGGTCAAATGGTGAAAGCAAAGCTATACAGACAAAATCTCACAGAGAAGCATACACATACACACTCACGAAAAGAGGAAAAGGTGAAAAAATAATATATCTTGCTCTCAAAGTCCACCTCCTCGATTTGGGATGATTCGTTGTCTATTCAGATATTCCACAGATGTAGGGTACATCAAGTTGATTGTGGAGATTTAATCCACTGTTCCTGAGGCTGCTGGGAGGGATTTCCCTTTCTCCTCTTTGTTCGCACAGCTCCTGGGGTTCAGCTTTGGATGTGGACTCGCCTCTGCATGTCGGTCGCCTGAGGGCTTCTGTTCTTCACTCAGACAGAACGGGGTTAAAGGAGCAGCTGATTCAGGGGCTCTGGCTCACTCAGGCCGGGGGGAGGGAGGGTTATGGATGCGGGGCGAACCTGCAGAAGGAGAGGGCGGCATGACGTTGCAGCATCCTGAGGCGCGCTCTGTGTTCTCCCGGGGAAGTTGTCCCTGGATCACGGGACCCTGACAGTAGCAGGCTGCACATCCTCCCAGGACGGGAAGTGTGGATAGTGACCTGCGCTTGCACACAGGTTTCTTGGTGGCAGCAGCAGCAGCCTTAGCATCTCATGCCCATCTCTGGGGTCTGCACTGACAGCCGTGGCTCGCGCCCATCTCTGGAGCTTCTTTAAGCAGCGATCTTAATCCCCTCTCCTCGCACACCAGGAAACAAAAAAGGGAAGAAAAAGTCTCTTGCCTCTTAGGAAGGTCCAGACTTTTTCCCGGATTCCCTCCCGGCTAGCCGTGGTGCACTAATCCCTTCAGGCTGTGTTCACACCGCCACCCCCAGTCCTCTCCCTGCGCTCCCTCCGAAGCTCGAGCCTCAGCTCCCCGCCCCGCCCACCCTGGCAGGTGAGCAGACAAGCCTCTCAGGCTGGTGAGTGCTGGTCGGCACCAATTCTCTGTGCGGGAATCTCTCAGCTTTGCCTTCCGCACCGCTGTGGCTGCGCTCTCCTCTGTGGCTCCGAAGCTCTCCCGCTCTGCCACCCGCAGTCTCCGCCCACGAGTGGGCTTCCTAGTGTGCAGAAACCTTTCCTCCTTCACAGCTCCCTCCCACTGGTGCAGGTCCCATCCCTATTCTTTTGTCTCTGTTTTTTCTTTTTTCTTTTGCCCTACCCAGGTACGTGGGGGAGTTTCTTGCCTTTTGGGAGGTCTGAGGTCTTATGTCATCGTTCAGTGGGTGTTCTATAGGAGCAGTTCCACGTGTAGATGTATTTCTGATGTATCTGTGTGGAGCAAGGTGATCTCCGCATCTTACTTTTCCGCCATCTTCCTCAACTTTCCCTTATGACATTATTTATATCACTAGCTATATTATTTATTTATTTATTTATTTATTTATTCATTTATTTATTTATTTATTTATTTATTATGTATTTATTTTTGGCTGCCTTGGGTCTTTGGTGCTGCGTGTGGGCTTTCTCTAGTTGCGGTGAGTGGGGGCTACTCTTCAATGTGGTGTGTGGGTTTCTCATTGTTGTGGCTTCTCTTGTTGGGGAGCACGGGCTCTAGGCACGTGGGCTTCAGTAGTTGTGGCATGCAGGCTCAGTAGTTGTGGCTCACGGGCTCTACAGTGCAGGGTCAGTAGCTGTGGCGCACGGGCTTAGTTGCTCCACAGCATGTGGGATCTTCCCGGGCCAGGGCTGGAACCCATGTCCCCTGCATTGGCAGGTGGATTCTTAACCACTGTGCCATCAGGGAAGCCCTATATCACTAGCTATATTATTTTTATCCTATCTATTTTATAAGATTGTGTTTCTTACATTACCCAATTATGTAACCAGGTCTTCAACAAAACTAATGATGCTTCCATGTCTTGAGGCAATTGATCACATACATAGTTCCATATAAAATTAATTGTAATATCGCAACTCTAGATATGGGAAGAAGCAACAAGGGAGGATATTTCCTGGATTATAAGAGTCTAGTAAAACAAATGATGCCGAGCCTAATCCAGAAATAGCACATTGAGTGGCCTATCAACAAATTCCTTGCTTGAACTAAGAATAAGCCTTCGTAATGCCATGGGACAAATGGGTCATGACATTCTCCCCAAACCTTGGATGAATTTATGACCAACGGGGGTTACTGTAAACAAAAATATGTTGTCTGCCACTCCAGTTCTACAAGGATCAAGTCATTAGCCACTGTAGTTCCTGACCTACAGCACACCCTGAAAGGAATTCAAGATGAAACATTCTGTGTTTTGGATATATGGGCCCCTAGATAGTTAAGATGCATATGTAATGAAGAATTTCAATGACCCCAGATTCCTGCACCTTCACATATATAGAAAATCACTAAAATCATTAACTGAGATATCTGATCCTTGTGACTAGCAATAACTAGCAGGATGTATGCTTGACTATAGGTATTTCCCAGCCCCCCAAAAATCATATATACGCTGGCTCATTCCCTCCTACCTCTTGAGAGCAGTTTGTCAGAGCTATCTTAGAGGCTGTCTCCTAGACTGTAGTCCTCAGTAAGTCCCCAAATAAAACTGAAACCCACAACTCTCACACCGTACATTTTTCAGTTGAGATATATATGTGTGTGTGTGTGTATATATATATATATATATATATATATATATATATAGAGAGAGAGAGAGAGAGAGAGATATTAAGTGGAGAAACAAAGCAATAATTATACAAAGCAAGAATTAAACATTAAACCTTGGTCTTTAAACTCTAAATCCTGTAGTGCTGTCATGTTTTCTTTCCCATTAAGACTTGTACTCTGCAGAATACATCATAGGGATTAAAATACACACACACACACACACACACACACACACATGATCCAAGATAGATACTCACTTAATTGAAAAAGATTCTCCAGTCATTTTGCCTGAAATGGGGTCCAGAAATGCAAGCTTCAAGCAGCACAGTGTAGGTGGTCCAACCTCATATTTGATTCCTACAATCTTAACAAATTCTTGTTCCTATTCATGAGAATAACAATAAATTATTACTTTCAATATAAATAATTACCTAACATTTGCATATTATTTCATTATTATTTGAACAATTTAAAAATTATCTGAAACAACTTTGTAAATCAACTATACTCCAATAAAACTTTAAAAATAAAAAAATAAAAATTATCCTAATACCCACCAGATACTAGGTACTCTACTAAGTGTTAAAAGTAATAAGACATGGCTTTTGACCCCTTAATAGCAATTTGTAGTTTAGTGCAGGGCTATAAACCAATGATAAACAGCAGAATCCCCTTGGGAACCTTTTTAAAATTCATGTTCCTAAACCCTACTACTATGGAATTGAGTTCACTATGTCTGGGGTAAAGCTCAGTCATATATATTTTGAAAAAAACTCCCCAGGCTTTTCTCTGGGGAGTTAATAATTGCTCTGCTGGTTAAGAATCACTCCTCTTGTCACTACTCTCCCGAACTCCTTGATAGTCTGTCAGTGGGAGATCTTTGTGGCCGTCTTCTCACCTCCTCCAGCCCCATGGAACCCTACAAGTCTCAGTCATGCATGAGTGCATCTCCATCCATGTTGGCCAGGCTGGTGTCCAGATCAGCAATTTCTGCTGGGAGCTCTACTGCCTGGAACATGGCATCCAGCCAAGTGACAAGACAATTGGGGGAGGAGATGACTCCTTCAGCACCTTCTTCAGTGAGACAGGTGCTGGCAAGCATATGCCCAGGGCAGCATTTGTAGACCTGGAACCCACAATCACTGATGAAGTTCACACTGGCACCTACCACCAGCTCTTCCACACTGAGCAGATCATCACATGCAAGGAAGATGCTGCCAATAACTATTTCCACGGTCACCACACCATTGGCAAGGAGATCATTGACCTTGTCTTGGACCAAATTCGGAAACTGGCTGACCAGTGCACAGGCCTTCAGGGCTTCCTGGTTTTCCACAGCTTTGGTGGGGAACTGGTTCTGGGTTCACCTCCCTGCTGATGGAACGTCTCTCTGTCGACTATGGCAAGAAGGCTCACCTGGACCACAAGTTTGACCTGATGTATGTCAAGAGTGCCTTTGTTCACTGGTACATGGGTGAGGGCATGGAGGAAAGAGAGTTTTCTGAGGCCTGTGAGGACATGGCTGCCCTTGAGAAGGAGTATGAGGAGGCTGGAGCGGAGAGTGCTGAGGGAGAGGGTGCGGGTAAAGAGTATTAACCTGTCTGCTTCAATTTTACATCCTTGTCTTGAGACTGTCTTATATGTGTTCTGTGGAGCTGCCCATTGTGGCCCTATCTTGTCAATAAAAGTGATATTTCTATTTAAAAAAAGAAAATAATCACTCCTCTAGCAGAAATACAGTTTGTAAGTAGGCAGGTAGACATGTTATGTATATGTTTGGGAAAAGGACTTACATTTATGAGTGCCTACAATATTATTTTATAATACCATCCTTATACATCGTTATTAGTCACACTTAACAGATGACAAAACTGAGCCTCATGGGTACAGTGACTTGTTTCAAGTTATACACTAGTATATAGCAGAGCTGGGATTAAAATTCAGGTCTTATTCCAAAGCCCAGGCTCTTATACCACATATATGCTGCCTCCTAAAATTTCCTATAACCACAGGGTTAGAATTTAAAGTAGGAAATCATATGGTTTATTTATTCCTTTGATCCTAAAAAAAAAACCAAGAGGGGCTTCCCTGGTGGCGCAGTGCTTGAGAGTCCGCCTGCCGATGCAGGAGACGCGGGTTCGTGCCCCGTTTCGGGAAGATCCCACATGCCGCGGAGCGGCTGGGCCCGTGAGCCATGGCCACTGAGCCTGCGCGTCCGGAGCCTGTGCTCCGCAAATGGGAGAGGCCACAACAGTGAGAGGCCCGCATAACGCAAGGAAAAAAAAAAAACAAAAAAAAACAAAAAAACCAAGAACAAAAACCTCAATTTTCACCTGATTCAGAACAGATGGTAGCATTCCTGTTTCCCAGGAGATGATTATGTAAAGCTCACTTGATAAGAAATTTTAGCACCTTACAACATTAATACAATTTTTATAAGTGTCAAACCTTTATTTCAATAAATATATACATTATCTCTTGCATCCTTACTTTTAAGCATCATTATACAACAACCCTTCATTTACCTGAAAAACTATCATAAAATTGCCCTTTACTCTCTTGTTCTCAGAGTCGAAAAAACAAAACGACAAAAACAAATGTAAACCTAAGTAGAAATGATGGTGTATGTATCTCTATGTCTCTTTGTCTGTATTTATATAAGTATGAATGAATGAATATGTATTTACAGTGAGAAAATCCTTCTCTAAAAAATAAACATATCTATTTTATTCAATGACATGTAGCTACATAGGTACTATATCAAAAGAAATAATAAATAAAGCACCACAAAGTCATGAGTTTCTTAGGATTTATGATATTTACTATATTCTAAATCTGCCAGAATCTCAAGGGTGTTTGGGGTCCACACATGCAGTCACAGTTTATAGAGCTTCTAGAACGTTCAAAACTGCTGAGGAAAATATCAACACCATGGAACTACTGCTTTGCTCCAATTATATCAATAGAATGGTATACACTACAGGACCTGAAGCTTGAAGGAAATTAGGTCAAATAATCAAGACAACAGGTGGCATACAAATTTTGGGAACCATAAAATGTGACCCATAACACTCAGCTGTACAAGAGTATGGTACATCACTTTATCCTGGATGCACAATCAACAGTGAAATATCCAGAAACTGAGAATAAGCCTACAGGCTAATAACTTAATTCCCAAGATACTTCAATTGCATAGATAATTAATTTGGTGAACTTACCCTGAGATCCATTTTATTCCATGGCTGTTTTTGTAGGTTAACGCTGTATATTTTTGATTTTCTTACAGCCCGTATATAAGCTTCATGTCCTTGCCTAAAATATATAAGCTAAAACAAAAAACATGAGGTATTAAACAGCAGCATCCCATTTAACACCACTATACGTCCCAATATATTCCTACAAATGTCCTCTTCTGTTTACAAAGAATATAAATAATTATAATTTTGAAAAAAATATACAATAAAGGTACTTATAATCAAATAATGTTCATTCAGTACTCATGCCTATGTAGCCATGTGCTAAATATTGCATAATAAAAACACACACAGTCCTTCTCCATAGCACCTTCATAAATTTCTGAAGAAATAGACTGACAAATGTACACAAAAGTGGTCACATTTTAAAGTAATATATTTCAATATGTAATTGACATTCTAAAGCATCAACATTTTAATAGCCTACACATTATATATATATATATATATATATATATATATATATAACCACAGGCTACTAAATACAGTAATTTCTAGACAGATTAAAATTTTTCTTTTGTAAGAAATAATATCAGAACTAGCATGGTATGGAAGGAAAATGAATCCAAGTGCTTGATAAAACTATTCACCTCTTTAAAACAGCATTCACTACCATATTCTGATTCATTAAAAAAAGTTTCTTTCCCACAATAATTGTTTTTCATCCTCACACCATACTGACAGGTTCAAATCACCTCCCAACCACAAAAATCTTAGCTTCCTTTAAGGCTCAGAATACTGAATCTGATTAAACAATCAGCAAACATTTCCAAAGTGAATGCCAACCCTGGATACAGCTTATTGTCCCAAGACTGTGTCTACCAGGGTAGAACAATGCCAGTGCAAATGGCCTTGCAGTAATGTTCCCTAAATATCCTTGAGTGCACTCTGTACCTGAGAAGCTTAAGATCAGGTTGCAAATAGAATATGTAAGTAATGCCACCCTTCTTGAACACGTAGCTTCTTCCAAACAGCAGGCCTACTTTGTAGGCGTTTTTCCCACTCTGCTTCCTTTATTTATTATTAATCCAAACACCCCACAATCATTACACAAAGGCAACCATAGGGACAGGGAAGAAGTCAGGAGACCTGACTGCTGTTGGTGCTACCCTTACAGGCCATGTGACTCTGGCCTTCGACATGCTCACCTGTCAAATGAAGAGGACACTCTGCTGGCAGGGGTGTTTGAAAGATTAATAACAATAACAAAGGACAGATAGACTAGCATGCCTCAGGTGGTATCCTAAGTGCCCTACAAATATCCTTTAATTTAATCCTTCCCAGAGCCCTACAAGGTAGATATCTTTATCCCCACTGTACAGTTGAGGAAACTAGGGCACAGAGAAGTAATTTGTCAAAATCTTATTAGGTTTCATGCACTCCAGTGTCCATTGAAGCACTATTTACAATAGCCAGAAGCAACACTGAAGCAATCTAAATGTTCAACAGAGGAATGGATAAAGAAGATGTGGTACATATATATAATGGAATACTACTCAGCCATAAAAAGAAATGAAATTGAATTATTTGTAGTGAAGTGGATGGACCTAGAGTCAATAAAAAAGAACAAAGTAATGCCATTTGCAGCAAAATGGATGGACCTAGATTTGTCATACTGAATGAAGTAAGTCAGAAAGAGAAAAACAAATATCATTATGATACCACTTATATGTGGAATCGAAAAAAAAGGGTACAAATGAACTGATTTACAAAATAGAAGTAGAGTCACGGATGTAGAAAATAAACTTATGGTTATCAGGGAATAAGGGGGAAAGGAATAAATTAGGAGATTGGGATTGACATATACCCACTACTATATATAAAATAGATAACTAATAAGAACCTGCTGTATAGCACAGGTAACTCTACTCAGTACTCTGTAATGGCGTGTATGGGAAAAGAATCAAAAAAGAAAAAAAGGGCTTCCCTGGTGGCGCAGTGGTTGAGAGTCCTCCTGCCGATGCAGGGGACACGTGTTCGTGCCCCGGTCCGGGAGGATCCCACATGCCGCGGAGCGGCTGGGCCCATGAGCCATGGCCACTGGGCCTGCGCGTCCGGAGCCTGTGCTCCACGACGGGAGAGGCCACAGCAGTGAGAGGTCCGCGTACAACAAAAAAAAAAAAAAAAAAGAAAAAAGAAAAAATGAGTGGATATATGTATATGTATAACTGACTCACTTTGCTGTACACCTGAAACTAACACAACATTGTAAATCAACTATACTCCAATAAAAATTTTTAAAAAAAGAAAAAAAAACTTATGTTTCCTATAATACTATTAAAGGGGTGGTAGAGATAAATAGAAGAAAGTAATGTAAAAAATACCATACTATGGAGATTTTAAAAATACACTGACATATTCTACCAATCAACACTAAGTCAGAATTTCTAATAGTTAAAAATACAAGTAAAATTTTTTAAACGTTTAAATATTAGTATATAAACACAACTGTAGTGGTAAAAAAAAAGTCATTACCATGCTTACCAATAACATGATTAGCATGTTATTCAGATATCCTTTATTATATATTTATTCCTGTACTCAAAAAATATTGGTCAAATATATATGTACAAGGCACTGGGTGCTATGGTAAGACATCAAAATAAAATCCTTTCCCTCAAGGATATGGACAGACATGTAGATATATGAGTATGATACAAGGCAGAATGTATCATAAGAGAGAAATAATTTAGATGGGAAAGCACATGAAGAAGGAGTGGCAAGCAAATGGTAAGTAGGGATAACATGCAAAAGAAGTTGGCATTTAAGTTAAACCTTGAAAAATGAACATTTTGAGAGGCAATGACCTGTGGCTAGGGGTATTCCAGGCAAAATAATGAAGGCTTAACACTTAAAAGTAAAAAGTAATGTTGTCACTAACAGATTGATTATATAAAAGTATGTTTCTGCCTTTATGGGTTCTTTTAAAACATTCTTTAATTCACGTATTTCACTGTCTGATTCACTTATACACCTTTTCCATTACATGAACAACTGTCATTACCTAATACACATTATTCTTGAAGCATATAATCATGCACTAAGTTTAACAAAATAAAGGGAAAGGTAAATATGGTCCTATAAAATAGAGAGGAGTCTCAGATCATAGAGTATACAGATCCTTATTCTGTTCTAAGATTCTTTTTTAATATTTATTTGCTAATTTATTTATTTATTTATTTATTTATGTTTGGCTGCATTGGGTCTTAGTTGCAGCACATGGGATCTTTTGCTGTGGCGTGTGGACTTCTCTCTAGTTGCAGTGCATGGGCTCTCTAGTTGTGGTGCACAGGCTCCAGAGCGCATGAGCTCTGTAGTTGCGGCACACGGGCTCTCTAGTTGTGGCATGTGGGCTCAGTAGTTGTGGCAAGCAGGCTTAGTTGCCCCTTAGCATGCAGGATCTTAGTTCCCTGACCAGGGATTGAACCTGCGCTCCCTGCATTGAAAGGCAGATTCTTAACACTGGACCACCAGGAAGTCCCCCTGTTCTAATACTAATTCAAAATTATTTCTCTTAAGCCTCCATAAAAAAAGGCAATAAATACAAGAAATAGTGATTTTTGGATATACCCCTAAGAAAGCTCTTCTAAGTTTTTTCATACAGCATTCATCCAGAGCACGTTTTACTAAAATAACCAAACAAACGAGCATGGCTCAAAAGTCTGACACTTACAAGAAGACACACTTAGGAAAGGAAACATTTTAATAATATCAAAAGATATTATAATAATAAGTAATAGCTTAATTGTAAGGCTACTTGGTAGCTATCTCTGGTATACCTATAGAAGACAATTATAGAAAAGTTTGGTAAAATTTTTATTGGTTCCAAGACTTTTAGAACCATTTCCAAGGTTCTGCTCCTTCTTTATTACGATGATAATATTACATTCCTACTACGGGTCTTAAGTTGAAAACTGTGGATAAGCATTTAATCATTCAAAATTGAATGATTAGTCAATATGTCAGAGACTATACAAGCCAACTAGGGCTCAAAATATAACAATGCTATCATAATTTTCATAAGAAAATCAAATAAAAATTTTTCACTGTATAGAATTTAAATCAATTTTTGACTGACCAATCATAAATATGGCTGTAATCAATCATAGGTTCAGTAGGAAGGCCTTGTTTGTGAAATGACTTTCCCGTAAGCATTGAAAGGGGTGATCATCCTCTAGAATATTTTCTATCAGGTTGAGCATGGGCTTCTTTTAAAAAAACAAAACAAAACAAAACAAAAAAACAGTATTAGGACTTGATTAGGATTCAAAATACCACTCAATTCTACTATGTGGCAATTAAGATAAAAATAAAGACAATTATTTTCATGGCTTCACAAGCCAATCAATTTATCTCAATGTTCATTGAGCATCTACTATACTAAAGACTCTGTGTCAAGCCCTACAAAGGACACAAAAATTAGTAAGATTCAGTCACTGTCCACAATAAATATATAATTGAGCAGCACAGTTAAGATGGTGAACATATAACTATAATAGAATTGAGAATATGAATGGCCTAAGACTGATATTAAAGTGAGTACTCTTGAGGTTCCAAGAGAAAAACGTTATTTAACAGAAAACAATTACCTCGTCTCCCATCTGTGGGACAAACGGGGAACGTCGTGGTATGGTATCCAAGATCCACTGAGGGGCAAACCATTCTTCATTGGGCTCACCTGCCATAGAAACCAGTCCTCCTTTCTAAAATATAGTTCACAAACATATAAACTGTAAATATATGAACAGTTGTAGAAAAAATAGCAGGTAGAAAATGTTAAAAACATCAGGTTACAATAAAACACAAAATATACAAACTTCAAACATTTTCTTTTACCAATTAATTATGCATAACTTTTGTACCAATAAAACAATCAAGTGAGTAACATGTTGTTCAATTTTGGCTGACAGATAATATGACACTATATACTATCTAAAACCCACAAATTTTACTCTTCATGTCCCTAGTATATCAAAGGAATTCAAATAAAAGTAACACAATAACTTTTTGCCAATTAAATGATGACCATAAAGAAGATAATTCTGTCTACTAAAGCAAGAGGTTACAGAATGAATACAGAATCCATTTTTAAATTAATATTCAAGGAACTCTGTGGATTAAGTTTTTACATCATTCAAATGAAATTATAGTGGGAAATAAAACCCCATCATTGGGATGAAATAAAAACATAAAGAAATAGAAGAAGCCCTACATGATTTATCATATCCTTCCATTTTACAAGTCAAAAATATATAGAAATTTATGACTGGTGACATGACAAGAATAATCCTTTTATACTACAGTGGCTTATTTAAAAACTCTACTACATTTTAACAAACAACTGTCAAAATGTTTTTATTTAATGTTAAAATAATAATGAAAATATTCTAGCCTCTACTTTTGACAACAGAAAAATTTCAAAAAATCTTTACATCTTTTATACAATTTTACTTAGTTTCTCAGATGGAATATTATTTTTAGATAAAAGTGAAGTGTTACTGTTAAATATTCAAGTATCAAAGGAAAAAACCAAACCCCCCCCCAAAAAAGAAAAACAACCTGTAGACTTACAAACCTTCTTTCTAGTCTGTTTAGGTTTCTTTTGCCTTTCTTCAAGTGACTTCAAATTCTCCTCCTCAGAGCTGCTGCATATTTTCCGTGTTGCCTGTCTCGTTTGCCGTTTTGGAGGTTGCAAATTTATTCCAGCATCTGCTGTCCAATCAGAATATTCACTTGATGAATCACTGTAAATAATACATAAGTTCAGAAAAGGAATAGTTTTGCCTCATGATTGAAAGATGATCATTTTGTAATCAAACAGCATTATAAATGACATGGTTTGATTTTGTTCTAACCAAAGATAAAAAAAATATCAAATATAGAATTTTGATCATTACCTAAGTGATTTTAGTGAAATGCTTCTTGGATAAAGTATAATGCTTAGTTTCCCATAACAGGATTTAAAATTCAAAATTCCTGTCCAAATCACAAAAGCTTCTTTAAATAAAGATGTTCCTTATCCCTGGAAATGGTTAAATATAGTTGTTTTAAACCTGAAATAAATACACATAGCCTGCCAAGGTGTAGAATCTTGGATTTACAAAGAATCTTATTTTACAGATGGAACTATTTTAGGGAACTAAAGCCCATGATGACATGCGCAAAAAGATATTGGTAGAGCTAGGATAAAACAACAGGTCCCTGGGCTTCCAACCCAGTACTCTTTCTACTATAAAATACTATTTTAACTCTGGCTTTACCAAATTCCTACAAGAACATAATTTCACATTAAAACTGTCAAATGATTTTGACCAAATCAAAACCATTAAAACTACCTGGAGGAACTTTCACTTTGCCATTCAATAACAGGATCCTCTATAGAAGCATCACTTGTGCCAACTGTTTCATCTTCCTGCAACAAAGAGCCAGCAATTGAGATATATTGTTATTATTAACTAGCATATTATTAATTAGCATATATTACCTGTTTTATAACACTTTTTGTATTCCCCCCTCCAAAGAAAAGTTCTAGTTAAAATGTATGTAATCATTTTTCTATATATACTTGTAACTCATAACTAAGCCTACCAAGTATTTAAAGATTTCTAGCATCTACTATCTTACTGATATGACACACATTTTTTTATTTCAAAGACGCAATAGACTCCTTAAGAAATGCAAATATAACCCTCTTAAATTTTGTTAAAACCATTGTTTTCTTTTTTTAATTGAAGTATAGTTGATTTACAATGCTGTGTTAGCTTCATATATACAGCACAGTGATTTGCTTTTTGTTTTTTTTTTCATTGGGGTACAGTTGCTTTACAATGTTGTGTTAGTTTCTGCTGTACAACAAAGTGAATAAACTATATGTATACATATATCCCCTCCCTCTTGATTCAGTTTTATATGTATATATATATATATATACATGAAAAAAATATATATGAATTTATATGAATATATATATATATTATTTTTCAGATTCTTTTCCCTTATAGAAAGCCATTGTTTTAAAAAAATACCTACACAAAAAAAGATAAAAATACCTATATGCCTCTACCAAGTTAATATAATTACTCTCCATAAAAAAGTTAATCATCTTTTTATTACGTAAGTTCTCAAACGTACCAAAGTAGAGGAAATAGATAACATCCTTGTGTACACAATCTCCAGTTTAGACAATAACTCACTGCCTATCTTGTATATATACCCTTACCAACTGCCTCATACCTCAGGGATTATTGTGAAAAAAAAGCATTTTCACTATAAATATTTATTAAGATAATGATTCTTTTTTTTTTTTTTTTTTTTTTTTTTTGTTTTTGGGGGCTTTTCTTTTTTGGGCCTTTTC